TTTTGAGGGTTGGAATGGTAACCAGTAGGTTGGTAAAAAAGCAATTTACAAATTAAGTTTAACTCCTCGTCTGGATCAATTCTAATAATAGGCTTGCTCAATCTATGCGAAGCATGGTCTAAGGACCTACTCATTTTTGATATTACTTATTATAGCAAAGTCAAGAGATAAGATAATATAATATGCCGTAAAAAATAGAGACAGAGTCTCATTACTTCGTAATAACCATGGCATTTCATAGACCCCAACCCCCCAATCGATCAACTCATAGATTAACTACAGATAAAGAATTCGAGTTAGAACAAATTAACCAAGAACTCCAGGAGATATTACAATCGGAGGTAGCTATCAACAAGTCGAATGAGAAATATATAAAGGATCTGGAACGTAAATATACCCAGTGTGAGAATGAAATTCAATCTCTCAATAAAGAACTGGAATGGCTTGAGAATGCTTCGGAGGAAGAAAAGGCGGAGTTGAGATCGGAAATATCATCCCTTAAAAAAAGCTTATATCAAGCTAAAAAGGAGGTCCGAGATAAGATATCTTATATCGATAGTATAGAGAAGCAATTACAAGAATCGGAAGAACGGGTTCAAAATTTAAGGCATAGATTCAAAGTTATTTCTTCGAGAAGAAGCTCTCCAAGTTTATATAATTCAGAAGAAGATACAGATATGGCAAATCTTGACCTTTTTATACAAATTGATCGAGGCTTAACTCGAATTGAAAATCACATCCGAGGTGCTGGTACTCCATTAAATAATCCTATCAATATTATAAATGGCATTAGAGGCTCTTTGAATGCTGTCCGCCTTAATTACCAAAACGCGTATCAGGATATAGATGGTGTTATAGCCCAACGAGATGATCGGAATAATCAAGTATTGCAGTTGCAACAAGATGTCAATTATTTGAGAGAGCAAAATGCTAATCTCCAGAATCAAGTTAATCAGCTTATTCAGGAGCGAGATACCTTACAAAATTATGTTAATCAACTTATAGCAGAGCGAGATACCTTGCAGAATCGTGTCAATCAACTTGCTCAAGATCTCGATAACAGCCAACACGGATATAATTTACGAGGGTATTTGTGGTATAATGTTACCTTGGCATTAGAAAAACAATCTAAACTCAGGCGTCCTCTCGAAATTATTTATAAGGTATCTATTCATCGTCTAAAGCAGGAGTTACAACAATGCCGGGCTGATAAAGGATTATTAGAATATAATCGAGATCGGCTCTTTGATAGATATTACAATAAATTC